AGCCCTTTAGCTGGTTAATATGAAGGGAAGAGCTGTAAATATCATGTGGATTGTGCATCCATGCATACGTGTACAAATAAAGGACATTAATGGAAATATTCATTTGAAATACTGAATACTGAATATCATTTGACCTTCTTACCTCCAGTAAAGAGTGATATATTCTCCTGAGGTCAAGTTGCAGAAGGTTTCCAATCAAAGGAAGGGGTCTTGGTCCCGGTGGATCCTTTCCATGTTTTTCAGGGCTAAACCTGGAGGATGAAATCAAATACACAAGCAGAAGTACTAGAAGAGCCACCAACAAAGTGGCTGAGTGGGACTGGAGCAAAACATCCAGAATCCCCATGACTTTGACAAGTATCTAGATGTATTTGTTCTGAGAGTCAAAGTGACCGAGCGGTTCGAGGGAAACCAGTTTAAATAGTAGAGAATCAGCGCAGCCCAGTTCAGCTGAACAAATAGAAGTGAAGTAAATGCATTAAAGAAAGTAAATGATTAATTTAAAACTGGTACTGTACTGTGTCAAAGTTGATTCCTGATTTCACAATTGTTTATGAGCCAACCACATATATACTGACCTTTTTCACAGTGATTTTCAAATTTTTTTTTTATTGAAAACATAACCCTGTCGTGAAATCTGGTGTGCATTTCCAAATGTACCTCTGTAAGTGACAAGACATAAGATTGTTTTTTTTCGATTACTGGTAAAAAAAAAAAAAGAAAAAAGAATTAAGACTTCATTACTTTGCTTTTGTTTATTCTTTATTTTCTGAAAGATAGCTGTGCAACTTTCATCACAAACTCTTTGAGAAGAAATCAACACATTCGCTGTACTGCTGCAGGAACAAAACTTTTTTAAAAAATGTCATATTAAAGACACAACTGCTGTCATATCAGCCAACAGTCCAAAGTTAAAGAACACACCAATACATATTTAGAGGGGAACTCGATACATTGAGAATCATAAATGATTTCTTTAACAGCTTGTTCTTTGAATAGTCTCAAGGTTTATGCCTGATTATACATCTATACATTATTCTGTTCCAGAATAATGCACGCACTTTTATTTGATATTCTTTCTACAAAGGTTTCATCTTAAAATTAATTGCTTTATAAATTATGATCTCCTTGAAAATATCTAGACCTGTTTCTGGCAGTGTAAATTTTACTTTTGTTTTACTTCTTATTGCCTTATTAAAGGAAGGTATTGCAGAGATAATTTAACCAAAAAGAATATTGGGGTAATTTGGGAAGACTTGGATAAAAGTTCTGGAGGACTATTATATCAACATATTCTCATTATGAGTTCGTATGAAATCGTACGAAAAGTTATGCACAGTATTTCGTACGTTTTTGACGTTTTTCCTCAAAAATACAGGTCAGTGCGCATGCGCAGCCAAACAGATGAAAAAAGCAGACCCGCGGATGGACGTAAAACTGGGAAGAACAGAGCTATATTTATATCTTCATGTCTTTAACTACGTTGCTTGCTGTTTTGTATCTTAGGGTTAGGGTTAGGGTCAGGGTTAGGGTTAGGGTTAATTGCAGGTTGAATTCTATGTTATTGAATGGTGCGTAAGATGCGCATGCACAAGGATTTCTTGTCTCCAGGCAAGACGTAAAAATGCGACGAAATACAACGAAAAAAACGTCAAAAACATACGAAATAACTGTGCATAACTTTTCGTACGATTTCATACGAACTGGTAATGAGAATACACTGATTATATTTATGAAGAAACATATTTCATGGGATGACCAACCACCAGCCAAAGATTTGAATCTTTCCTCAGCAGAGAATGGTGGACATAAATATGAATTTTACAGACTTATCGATGAAGGGAGGATCTTAAGGCTTTAGAAAGTCTAGAAATTAAAATTAACATTTTTTTTTTTACTTAAGCTAACTAACAACAATAAGTCAATCTCACTACACTTCAATTCAGAGGTTGGTGGTAATGCTTAATAGTTGTTTGCTAACCACCAATAAATCTGATGAAGAAGTCTTGTAACTGTATTGTTGATTTTACAGTATGTTTTTTGTGAATGACATTAAAGACAAGCTTTAAAGTTAATTAAAGGAAGAAAAAGAAAACATTTACTATTGTATCTGTAATTCAGGGGGTTTTAGAAGATAGGAACCTGTTTTTGATTCACGTAAATATAACACTTTAACACTTGCTTTTTAAGTGCAACTAGTTTTCATGATTTGAGTAATTAAATCACATCTCTGGTCAAGAAAATATAACCAAAAATGCAGTGTCAGCTCAAATTCCTGCCTCGCACCAACAAGATCCTGGGATTGATTCCTGACCCATGCTCTTTCTGCATGAAGTTTTAATTTCCTTCTGTGCATTGTCCTTTCAAGGTACTCTGGCTTCCACCAACAGCCCAAAAACATGACTGTTTGGTTAGTTGGTATTAATTGAAACTTGCCTTGACTGATGGATTAAGAGGCAGAAGGTGGATGGATGGACTAAGCCGTTCCTATGCAATCAGTTAATATATAAAAATTAGCATTAGGTATTACTAATAGAAATAATATTTTGATTATTTTAGGTAGTTGAACTAATGCATAATTCTACAAATACAGCTCTGGTTAATAGAAAGTAAAATAACTGGTTCACTGTACTTATTTTTGTAATTGCTACTGGTTTACATGCTTTTATAAAGTAATGATGCTAGTGGATTTTACAGTGTAGCATCACCAATGACTGGAAATCTTGTAATCAGTCATGGGCTGATCTATGGGGCTACAGGCAGTTTGCTGTACCAAACTCAACATGGACCAGAGCAAGTAAAGGAAAGGGT